CTTTGCTGTGGCTTGGGGACATCAGCCATCACTTAAAAAGTAATTACGTGTGTGCATGTTTGATCTTGTCTTGGATGCTGTTCCTGTCTTGATTACTTTTATGTAAAAATAGTTCCTTTTTATTAGATAGCTTTTCCCTTGTAAAGGGGTGAGCTAAGGTATTTCATCCTGCGGCTGCACAGCCTAGTTGTAAAAGCTACAGCCTGTAAAACATTGCACACAAGAAACGGGGAAATAAACCTTTATAATGTTATAGAACACTGGCATTTGTTAGCTAATTACAGGTGCACCAAATCTTTCTTGATCAGATGCTTAATAATACTTTGCTCGGTTTAGGCTTTTTTCTGTCTCCTTATATAAGATGATGGATATAATTAAACAAGTAAACATCTATAAGGAGTCATAATTAAAAATAAATGACACTAAATCCACAAGCCTTGGTAGAAAAGTTCTATTACGTGATAGTCACACCTTCCTTCTATTTCTTTGAATAAACGTACATTGACCACCTGCCATGTAACATACCGCTAAGCTCTGGGAAATGCAGAGATAAATAGGACGTCAAATCCACACTTGGTGTGGACACTGTTGAAAGAGATAGAAGTGTAAAAGACATTTCTACCTATTTTTTTGCAGAAATAAGATATGACTATATTTAACATAACACTTTGAGATGGAGTATGATTGAGTGCCACAATAAGCAGTGCATAAAATGAGGTATTTGGAGAATGGAAAGATCAGTGTTAGGTTAGGAGATGAACACAAAGTAGAATAGTTCCATTGCCCATAAGTCAATTCAGTAGTAGTAAACAGAATCAAGGAATAGGAAGCCGTCATCTATCTCATCTTTTCTGTTGTGGACCACCAGCACTAAGAGGCAACATGGGATGTTGGGTGAAAATGGAGTTTCTGGTCACACCAACTTCGGTTTGCATTTTGGTCCTGCCAGTTAGTAGCTGTGTGAATATGGAGAAATGTCTTAACCTCTCTGATCCCAGTGTCTTTATTTGTAAACTAGAAGTGATGGTGGTGTGTCAAGGATGGAATAAAGTAATGTCTATAAAGTGCCTATGCACAACTCCCATATTATCCTGGCTCAGTACTTGCTTGGTAAATATTTGGTTCCTTTTTCCCTTAAAGGAGAAAAATACTGTAACTTTTGCTGGTTAGTCCATTCTAATGCCATTAAAGTTAAAACTATGTAGCTTAATATCCTTTCTCTAGTTTATATCCATTTCTTCTTTTTATGTGAAAAATGAGAACAACTTGGTTAATACTCACCTGATACTTCACAAATTTACAGACTTAACCCAGTGGATTAATATATGATTAGTGGTTAGAGATATTCTGGTAGATGTTGCTAATTGTGAGAATGCATTTCTTTCCACCATCAATGAGAAGATAGATTTTTTTTCATCTTCTGTCTGCTTTCTGGTAGGCAGGTTGGTAGGTAGATAACTGATTTTTTTTTTTATGAGTGTGAGTTGATACATCAAATATACTAAATATTGATAATCTTTCCTTTAGAATTTAATAAGAATGTGAAGAACTTGCAAAGAAACCTGAAAACAACCAAAGTGAGGACGTATGAAGGAATAGAGTATGTATCAAAGGTTTAAAAGAATTGGATAATGTTCTTTTCCCCAACTGGTTTCTTGGATATTGATTATTTTTTGGACTATCTTGTTATTGTTTGATCTAGCCAGGCTTATCTTAAGAGTTACCCAGTTAGTGCAGTTTTCCATGGAGACTTCTTACTTTCAGCTTACGGACAGCTTGCTCTAAGAGTCTTTCACGATATTATAAAGGGTGATGTATTGCTAACTGGAACAAGCAAAAGTACCCTTAAGTACGTATATCTTAGCTGCCATGCGGTGTAGGGTTTGTCAGCAGCTAGATCAGGAGAGATTTCCTCCTTTACTACGAGAGGAAAGATGGATATTTGTCTTACATAAAGCCTCCCAGGACCATGAACCTCTGAGTTACAAGCTGCAGAAATCTCCCGTGGATATCAACCAAGAGTAGATCTTAGTTCCCATCATCCCCCCAATTGGGAAACATTCAGTGGGAAAGTTTGGGGCGGGATTGTTAGTGACAGTGCTAACCCTAATCCGTTGGATATCCGTATACCCTATGAGTGGTTCTCAATTTTAGTGTGCATCAGAATCACCTGGAAGGCTTGTGAAAGCACAGATTGCTGGGCCCCACCCCAGAGTTTCTAATTCATTAGGTCTAGGGTGCGGCTGGAGCATCTGCGTTTTTCAAAGGTTCCCGGGTGATGGTGATATTGCTATACTGTTATTGCATTATACCCTCTGTCAGTTGTCACTCTAAGACTGAGAATTCCAGTACTTTTAATCTCTTGCTATGAACTTGATTTTCTCACTCTCAATTACTTTGCCTTCAGGTTTCTTTTCACATTCTTCACATTTCAAATTCTAGAGAAAAGATTATCAATGCTTACACACTTTTATTCTCTCTGTGTAATTGAAATATCTTCATAATCTAATTGTTTAGCTTGTGGAACACGCTGTCGGGGTAATTCACAATGCTTCATTACTTCACAATGCACATATTTTTATCTCTTTATTTGACTGAGATTTTGTTGTTGTTCTGTTGGTTTTGACCAGTACTTCAATTTATTTTGATCAGTTTAAATAATCATTTCCTCTTCTGGTGTGGTGTCATTTGCTATGACAAATAATACATTTTAAATTTCTTTGTAATATTTACTAGTGAACTTATGCCATATGATGCTACAGGGACATCATGACTCCTGACATTAATTCCCTCTAAATATCATTCATTTTCCTTTAAGTTAATGATGTATCATTAATAACTAGGACCTTTCAGCTAGGTGACTCCTTGCACTGTATGATTTTCTCCATATTCCTATATTTATATTCCTATGTATATATATTCCTATGTATTCCAGAGTTAATATATATTCCACATTCCATGGAGTCAAAAGGCATTATTTGCTTTATTCATTTATTTCACAGAAGAAAATTATAATTTGATTGACAGGGTTTATTCAAATCTTCTTAAAGCAAAAAACAAGCTATAAAACTATATCAAATATAATCTCAATTTTAAAATCTATAACTGTATTCTGTCTATCTATATCTCTTTATGATTCATATTCTGTTATAGTCTATGTAATTCAGCATGAATTTGTTGGGTGCCTGTTAAGTACTATGTTAGAAACAATTTGGGAAACCTAACATGTAGTAGGGGGAATAAAATACTAAGAAAAGTACACAAGTGATGACAATATAGTGTTTAATACAAAGGTCGATGATAAGATAGCATATCCTATGAGGATTTAGAAAAGAAGTATCATTTAGTTACGAAAATTAGAGAAGGCTTCGTGAAGGGTGGCTGAAATGGGCCTTTGAAATACAGATAACATTTCCATGGGTGGGAGTAGGACTAGCATAAAATTCATAGAGCTGAAATAATGCAAGCAGCCCAGGAGGAAATCCATCAAGGAATACTGTTGTGAAGAGATTTCAGGGAGGTAAAATTTCTGAAAACTGTGGGCTCAAGTAGTCAGTCAGAGTGTCTGTCTGTCTGTCTGTGTCTCCCTCTCTGTCTCTTCTCCCTCATTTGTTTTGTGTTTTTTGTATTTTGGAGGGCACAGGGTGGGAAAAGACCGTACGACATACATAGATAACACTGCAGGAAGCAAGAAATCTTGGGGAAAATGAAACACTGATGTAATCATTGTTAAACATCTAGTAACGGAGTACTTGCCTTGTACCTCACATATCTTATGTAATCCATAAGATGACCCTCTAAGGTAATTTTTTTATGGACATTTAAAGGGAATTAAGGCTCAGGAAAGTTAAATAATTGTCACACAATAAGAGCCTAAGTTAGGATTTTAATTCAGTTCTTTTAGATTACAAAACATTTTTATAATTAGGATTTCTAGCAAAATTGCCATGTTAGAAATAGGAAATTTAATGTATGTGTATGGGGGGTGGAGTGGGGGTAAAAAACTTAGGAAAAATAAAGCTTTTCATTTTTGTTTTCTTGTGTGTATATTTTAAAAGTTGAGTGATAGAATCTTGAAAGAATTAACTTTGCCCCAATTCTTTATTCTTTTCCTACTGAGGAAAGAAGCCATGGAGGTATTTTTCATATCCCTTGTGTTTCTGGAAGGAGCGCTTTATCTGGGTTTTTTGGGGGTTTTTCTGTTTTTTCTTTCCAAAAGATTTCCCAAAGGTTACAGTCATGCCAATTATAATGGAATAGCCTCAAGGGACATTAAGGAAAAAAGTTTTTGGGTTTTTGACATCCAAAGAGTCATAAGTGGGAACAAAATAATACTGAAATATTTGGTTAACTTTTTAAAATTCCAATTTTAAGAACTATGTTTTGTTTATTTTGTTTTGAAGATATCCGGCTTTATATCTATAATGCATAATTTCATAATAATGCTTTCTAAAAGTTATATAAACCATATATATAATTCATTGTCTTATTTTTCAGAAGCTCATTATCGTAAACTTGATGAAATTTATGTCTAGTAGACTTTTTAAAATGGAATAATTTTGAAATTATGTGCTTGGATTTTGAAAACTTGAACAGCTAAATGAAATAATTTTATGAGATCTGATGAGAGCAAGCTGACATTAGTGTGAAACATCTTCAAGTATTTTTGTAAGAATTGTAGGAGAATTGTAGGTCCAACTTTGAAAATGATCTCTTCCCAAATACAGTTTTTGAAACTGTTGAATAGTTAAGTAAAAATAATTAAATAATTATTGTAGCTTTAATTTATTCTAGTGTATGTGGCATTTTGGTTAGTTTTATAAAATGAGAGATGCAGTGGTTTTATTTGGAAGGGAGTTATCTTCTAAAGCAGCAGCCTTCGTTTTTCATTAGAAATCTTTACTACTCAATTACAAGTTGATGTTCTACTCATAACTTCTGGCTGTGTAGAAGAGTTTATTTCTAGTGTTATACTTGATAACAAATCTGTTATTTTATAGTTGGCCTTGGCAGAATTATATGAAGATGAAGTGAAATGCAAATCTTCCAAATCTGATAGACCTAAAGCTACAATCTTTAAAAGCCCACGAATACCACCTCAAAGGTAAGTTTTGTTTTGTTTTTGTTTTTAAAAATTGTATCCTTTTTCAGTTCACTAATCCCAAATTATTTTAAAAGGCATTGGGAATTTTTTTAAAAACTGTAATTTCTTAAGTATTATTTATGTACTATTTGTAAAACTAGTAGTCAGAAAGCTAGAAGAAACTTATCGAAAAATTATCTTAAATACCTACTATTTTGGTAGACATCATATGATTATATATTGAATAGTATTTTTCTTGGGCACGGTGGTTCATTTTTGAGTCATAGCGTTCATTGAGGATCTGATAAAAGCTACAGCCCCTTTCCCCCCAAAACAACTGTCATGTGCAATTTTGTCAGTTATTTTAAAGAATTTGTGTGTTTCTTAAAACACACATGCATGGAGCTCCTGTGTGTCTTTTATCCTCCATTTAAGAATCTATAATTCCAGGAATCTGTCTGTGCTTCTGTTGGGTGATGACCCATCTATTAAGTGATCTCCTAGGTAGTATTTGCTGTTGTTAAAATCCCTGAACTGTAAAAAAAAAAAAAAAAAACTGTGGAGATTTGAGAGATGAGAGCCAGGTGTATTTTATTGCCTTGAGTTTTCTTGTTTCCGGGAATATTTTCATTAATGTCTTTTTAGCACTGCGTATCTCATTGCTGGGGAGAAACTTGACTTTTCCCAATATATCTTGTTCTCAGAAACTATTATTTTACCAAAAGTTGAAAAACTCACTGGAAATTATTTTTTTTGTTTGCCTATCACTACTTCACATCCTTTCTTTCTGTAGAGGAGATAAAAATGACCTGTCTTTCTGTATGTGAAGGAGAAGAAAGACTATATTATAATTTTCCCCCAACTTTTTATTTTACAAGTTTTCAAACCCACAGATAATGAAAAGATTAATACAATGACTATATGCTGCATATGCTTCAACTATTTGAAAGTGAGTTGCAGCCGTCATAACACTTCACCCCTAAATACTTTAGCATGCATCCCCTAAGAAGCACACACTCCTTTATAATCTTAATAACATATCCTGCCTTAGAAAATGAACAGTAGTTTCATAAAATCATTTAATATATAGTCCATAGTCAAATATCTCTTAGAGCCTTTTTTGGATTTAGGATCCAACCAAGGGCCGTGTATTCCATTTGATTATTCTTGTTTTGAATCTGAATCCAGAGCATTCTTCCCACCTTTTTGTTGTTTGCTTTTAGCTCTTCTATATAATCTAAAATTTATTACATTGACTTTTTTGAAGAGTCTAGGCCAGATGTCTTGTAAAATGTCCCAGATTCAAGGTCACTGTTTCCTTATGATTAGATTCTTGTTAAACGTATTTTTCAAGAATACTAGTAAGTGATACTGTCTGCTGTTTATTGTATCACATCAGGGGCCATATAATTTCAGGCTTTCCCCCTGTTGGTGATATGTTCATTTGGTTAAGGTGCCGACCACCCCATCACTTGATTGTAAGGTACAGTTTTTCCTTTGTAATCTGCTGGTTGGTATCTTAGCACTGTTTGAATATCCTATTCTTTCATTTAATTTTTGTTTGACATAGATGTGTATCTATACATACATGCATATATATATCTGTATATATACAGTTATACACCACATAATGACGTTTCGGTCAACAATGGACCACGTATATGACAGTCGTCCCAGGAGATTAGTACCATATAGCCTAGGTGTGTGGCAGGCTATACCATCTAGGTTTGTGTAAGTACACTCTGTGATATTTACACAACGACAAAATCGCCTAGAAGATGCATTTCTCAGAACGTATCCCCATTGTTAAGTCACTTGTGATTGTATATATGTTATACATTTTAACAGCTTTCTTAATTTATACGTTCTCCATAGTTTTGGAAATGCTTAAAATATTTATGTACCAGAGTTTTACTCATTAACTATTTGGCCATTGTTTCCCCAATTTGAGCATATTTTGAATGACTTAATTTGTTCATGATATAACAAATCAAAATATTTGACTCCTTTGATTCCTTGTAGTAAGAGTAGTGTGTTAATATTTTCCTTGCTATCCAAATGTAATCATTAAGACATTGTAATGAATGATTTTGTCTTTTTTATTTTATGCTATCTGAAACAATGTTACCTTTAATGGTTGTAATTTGATAATGCAATTTTTAAGGACTTTGTGCCTCAGATTTGATCTCTAGAATTATTTGCATATCCAAAAGGAGGAGCTGCCTTAAATGATATTGGTTGAGGCTTAAGCCCTGTTTGATCTGCTTAAAATACAATGTGAAGCAAATTATTGGCGATCTTTTTTTTGCTAAGTGTGATATTTTCTGATACTAAGTCTACAGTTCTTTTGGTTTCATATTGGATGTTGAAACCCAGTTTCAATTGCGTGTCTGCTGCTTTGTTTGGTACAGAAAACAGTGCTTATTTTCATGGTCCACATTCTTGGGCAGTATTAGATATCAAACATTCATCTGCTCATTGTCATTTTAAGCCAGTACATTTTCACTATCTGAAACTCTCGACTTAATGTAGTCTATGTTTTTAATTTACAAGAGTAGGAACAGAATCTACAGGAAAACTCTCAGAAGATAGCCTGACACCTGCTTTAATATGTTCATCCACAAAGTGCTATATATATATATATATATATATATATATATGTATGTGATATATATATATATATCACAATAGAACTTAAAAAAATTTGAGTCACCTTGTTTAAAAATGTAAGAACTTAAAAAAATGTCCTCTACAAGTCATTAGATAGTATTGTTTTGAGAATTAAATGAGATAAAGTGTATAAGATGTCTAGCACATGTTGGTACTTAATTGGGCCTTAAAAGGGTATTAGGATGTAGATAAGCACAGAAGACAAGGACAAAATTCCAGGAACAAATAGGCACAGAGGAAAAAATAATAAAAAATAACAAGAGGGATCAGAAAAGGAACCAGCAGAACTTTAGTAGAAAAAGAAAATTTGCCTAGTGGCCAATAAGGTTGGATGGGTGTAGTGCTGCTGGGTATGCTTCGTGGACCTGAGACCTCTGCAGTCACAGAGCCCTGTGCTGAGAAGGCCTCATGCTTGGTTTAATGCTTTGCTGTTACAGTCTTGAAATTCTTAATAAATTGTGAACAAGGAGACTTACATTTTCATTTGACAAATTATATGGCCAGCCCTGGATACAGCCACACTGTGGACAGCCTTAAAAGCCAAGGAGAGTTCCACTTGTATAGAAGGCAGTGTAAAGCCAGTATATGTTTTTTAAGGTAAATTTTATGATTAAAAACTATAATATTGTGATAAAAGCTTTGATTCTAGAGCTAGACACCCCGCAGTTCTAATTTTTTTCCTCTATGTTCTAATAAGTTTTTGCCCATGGACAAGTTCTTCAAATTCCCTAAAGCTTCAGTTTCTTATCTGTAAAATGAGGATAATACCATTGTTATGAGGATTAAATGAGCACGTAGTTACCCCTTAATAAATGTTAGCTATTATTATTATTTACTTTTAGGAAAATAAGACTGGCAATACAATATAAAATTAATAGTAATGGGGTGAACAGGATAAGGAGACAAATCAAGAAGAAAACAATTGCGGGAAATGTGCTAATAAAATTTTGGATTAGGTTGGTATCAGTGGAATGGAGGAGAAAGGTTGAAATCAATGTGGGATTTTTTTTTTTTTTTTTTTTTGTGAGAAAGATCAGCCCTGAGCTAACATCTGCCAATCCTCCTCTTTTTTTTCTCTTTTTGCTGAGGAAGACTGGCCCTGGGCTAACATCCGTGCCCATCTTCCTCCACTTTATATGGGATGCCGCCACAGCATGGCTTGACAAGCGGTGCGTCAGTGCGCGCCTGGGATCCGAACCAGCGAACCCCAGGCCACCAAAGCGGAGCATGCGCACTTAACCGCTTGCCCCACCAGGCTGGCCCAATGTGGGATATTTTTAAAGAATTTACTGTAGAAACTTGATGACATGGGATATAGGGAGTAAGTGACTGGAAAGAGAGAAAACTTAAATGTTCTTAATCTAGGATACAAGGAAAAATGTAATTTTTTTTTCTTTGTGAAGATCAGCCCTGTGCTAATATCTGCCAATCCTCCTCTTTTTTTTTTTTTTTTTGTTGAGGAAGACTGGGCCTGGGCTGACATCTGTGCCCATCTTCCTCCACTTTATATGGGACGCCACCACAGCATGGCTTGCCAAGTGGTGCGTCAGTGTGCGCCCAGGGTCCGAACCAGCGAACCCTGGGCCGCTGCAGCGGAGCACACACGCTTAACTGCTTGCACCACCAGGCCAGCCCCCAGAAAAATGTAATTCTTAATGGGAAGATTTATGTGGGGAACGTAGGTTTAATTTTGGAGGTTGAACTTGATTCAAGTAGGTGCTTTTAAATTCAGCACTGGACTATAAGTATGAGGTTGCTAAAAACATGTATTTGAGAATCATCCGTATAGAGGAGGTTGTTATTTATGGGAGTGGACAAATATTTTGATGATCAGATGACTTTAAATAGAGAACGAGAGTCAAGAATATAGGCATAGTTAATTATGAAAGAGGAGAAATGGATGCATTGTGGATCTAAAAATATAAAAGGAAAATAATAAAACTTCTAGAAGAAAATAGAGTATCTTCAAGACCTTGAGGTAGGCAAAGATTTCTTAAACAGGTAATAAAAAGCATGAACCATAAAGGAGCAGGTAGATCTTTTCCTGTGTCTGGTTTTCCAATAAGGTCTTTCTCTCTAAGATGGAGATATAAGGAACTATATAGTTGTACTTAGCCAGGTTAGAGACATGGGACAGGGAGCCAAGAAGCTATAACGCGAGATAGCTGCAGTGGGAAGCTTTGCTTTTCTCTTTTTGTCTTGTCTTTCCTTTCCTTCCCCTTCCTCTTGTGCTGCCTCCCTTTCTCTTTCCCTTTCCCTTTCCCTTCCCTTCCCTTCTCATAGGGCTAAAATCATCTGCTGTCAAGCTCCTTGTCTCTAATGCTAATGCTTGTCTTAAGAGTCAGCTATGGCAGTGTTCAGCCTTGCTTACTGTGCTGGGGCCTCTGAGTATAAGCTTGGCAGGAAGGCTTCCAGTGGCTCCTGCTCTGAGTAAACTGGGGCCTCGGTGTGCTTCCCCAGAGCACTAGCAGGATGGAGGCCACCCCCACCCCCACCCTCAGCGGTTATGAGCCAGCCTTATTTTCGTGGGATTCTCCTGGTGTCCGCCTATTCTCCAGGTAGATTTTTCCTTCACTTGCTGAATCGAGAGCTGGTCTGCCCTTCCCTCTTTCTATTCAGTTTTGCATCTATTAATTTTGAAGAAGGTCTTGAAGATGACCTCCATTCTTAGTCTCCAGTGCCGATACAATTTCCTCCCTTTGTTTTGTTCTGTGACTTAGTTCAGTGCAAGTTTGAAACTGGATTGTCATCTTACACTGGAAGTCTCCATGTTGATATTTCGTTGATTGTGTTTTCTGATATTCTTGATTGAAAAAAATCTTGAAAGCTAACATTGGATACTAATCTTATATAAAGGAAATTTTTATGTTCCCTAGTACCATTATGAAGTTGGAGTCAGAGTAGAAATTAGTCACTACATAGTTAGTACACTGAAAAATTTGTTTGTGGTCTGAATTATTTACTTTTAACACAGGGGGTTATAATTTTTCAATCCAAAAATCTCTGAGGAGTAAACCCTCTGTGTAGCTGTGATCTAAATCTGGAGGTCTCTGCACTAACTAGGTCCCTACTGAGTGTAGATTCCTCAGGGGAAGAGATTTAGCTTCTGGTTGTCAACACTGCTTTTCCCCACCACACCAAATGTGCTTAAGTTGTGAGAGAGATGCATTTGATAAGCAATCACAGGAGGAGGGAGGAAGAAACAAGCCAGTTCTCATGCCTGATGCTGAACCTGCTACCAGAATCTCCGCAAACTCCATGAGAAAGTATGTGAAATATTTGCTATATAATACCTTAATCCTGTTTTTAAAATTAAATATTTCCACAAAAGTCAAGCAAATTATTCTTTTTAAATAAAAGTTAATCCTAAGACTTTGTAGCTTTTTACTTTAAAGTAGTTTATGTCTGTATTCTGTTTTTATTCATGAACTGTAACATTTAAAGCTTCTGTTCAGGTGAACACGGATACAGTGGGTTGCATATAGTCAGACCTTCAACTGGGAAGATTGTCAATGAACTTTTCAAAGAGGCAAGGGAACATGGGGCTGTCCCTCTGAATGAAGCCACAAGAGCTTCAGGTGATGACAAATCTAAGGTAAGTGCTAAATTTTAAAACTAAATATGCTATTTATATATTTGTTCTTTTCTATAGTTTTTAATTTTTTTTGGCAAACATTCTTTTTCTGTTTCTTACTGTTTTAAATATTTGATTCATTTTTACAAGATTATAATCTTTCTCTTAATTGAAAGTTGAGGCAGTTTCTTACATTTCTGTGCAACTTCTGTATTTACCTATTTATTTTGAAATAATTATAGACTCACAGGAATTTGCAAAAAGTATGCAGAGAGGTCCTGTGTACCTTTCACCCAGTTTCCCCATTTCCCCCATGGCTAATGATGTTCATTTGCATTTTCCTAGTGGGCTGTGATGTTGAACATCTTTTCATGTACTTATTTGGCATTATCTTTATTACCCTCTTCAGTAAACTGTCTCTTCATGACTTGTGCCCATTTTCAAATTGGGTTGTTTTGTTACGAACAAAATTGTTTGAGAATTCTTTAACGTATTTTAATAGATATGGATCCTTTGTCAGATATATGGTTTGCAAATATTTTCTCCTAGACTGTAGCTTGTCTTTTCATCCTCTTATTGGGATTTTTCACAAAGTGAAAGTTTAAATTTTGGTCAAGTCCAATTTATTCTTTTTTTTTTTTCTTTTATGGATTATGCTTTTGGTATCTTGTCTAAGAACTCTTCACCTAACTGTAGGTCCCAAAGATTTTCTTCTGTGTTATATAGAAAAGTTTTATAGTTTTACATTTTACATTTAAACCTATGATCCATTTTGAGTTAATTTTACGTAAAGTTTACGTCGAGGTTCATGATTCTGCTTATGGATGTCCAATTGCTGCATCAGTTCTTGAAAAAGCTCTCCTTTCTCCTTTGAATTGCTTTTGTACCTTCTTAAATTTCTATAAAACTTTTATATAGCTTTTATATCAACTGATAGAGTATTGGTATATTAAAGAAGACATCATGTGTCTTTTTGTGCATAATTGTCATATTTTCTTAAAAAGCATTTCTCAACCTGAATTCCCTTATCAAAATCATTTGGGGAGGTTTTTCTAAACTACCACGTGGCCTCAAGGTGTCACAGTCCAGTAGATTTCAGGTCTGCCTAGGCATGTGTCTTTCAGAGAGGCCTCTGGTAATTGTGAGAGGCATCCACTGTTGAGAACCACTATTCTGAATGAAATAAAATTTTAGTTTTCATTTCAGTATTTACCAACAGCTTGAAATTCTTTCAGTCAAGTCTAAGGTAATTTTAGTTCTTGCAAGTTCTCTGATTCTGTAAGAAAAATTTGGAGTTGATATAATTTAGTCTATAGAAAAAAAGACAATGTGATAATTAAAAGCTCACTTATGACATAAATGGTGATCTAAAGGAATGGTGTTTTTCCCTCTTAAGCTATCCTACCTGAAAAATAGAAGACCTGGTGATTAGTATAGCGAAATAAAAATCGCAATCTAGTGTATTTGGTACAGTTGAATAAAAGCAACTTACAGGATAAGTATAGAGCTTTTCTTCAGGGTAATTTATACCCATTTATAAAATTCTTCCTTTACTCTATGAAACTCTTTTTACTTCATGAAATATTATTTAAGCATTATAATTTTTATTATAAGACTTGTCATAAAATATTAACGATGGCTTTTTAAAATGTGTTTATACTTCAAAGTATATATTTCAGTGTATAAATGCGTTTCTTAGTTTAAGATTGGTGTAAATTAATTCAGCTTGATACACTAGTGTTTTTATGGGAAGAAACAGAATTTCTTACTTGAATACCCTTCTCTGTAACATAAGGCTTTCATTTTAATATAAAATTTCTCTGGAAAGTATAAACCAGTTTGGCTAATTACAACTGATCTAGTTTTAAAATATATATCGCACATTATCATAACACTTTGCTTACTAAGCCTTACTGGATTGTTAGCTCACTTGCTCTGTGCCTTAGTCATTTACAGGTGGAGGATACCGATTGGGTAGTTCCTTTTGTAAGCGGTCTGAGTACATCTATGGAGAAAATCAACTGCAAGATGTAGGTACAGTAATCAAAATGACACCTTAGAGATATTTGCCTCTAGTTACTGTTGTTCATTTTGAAATTAAAAATTGATAATATATATAAATGTAATCTCTTTTTGTTCTGTTACTTTTTGAAACATGGATTAAAAGGATTAATGTGTAAGTTTTCAATCTTAAATTTTATATTTTGTATCGCAATTGTGCCTTGCACTTAGAGATACATAACTATTTGTTGAAAGAATATATGATTCACTGTCAAAATAAGCTTATATATGTTACAATAATTATAAATGGTATACTGTCATAGTATAGAATAAGCTGAGTTCTAAACATAGAAACACCTAAAGTATTTCTTTGTTTCTGTTGCCTTTTGAAATTTTGGAGTTATAGTGTCATTTTAAACGTGTAGTTTAGCATTGGAGCATCACTGGAAATTCTGTCTTGCCCGTTGGCATCAATATTTAAGCTCTGTGGCAGAGAAGAACATGGGTACAGATGAAGAAGGGCAGGTGTTGAGTGACAGCTGGATGCTCTCATTGCTTTCGTTTTCTCAATGAACCAGAAATAATTGTTCTTCAAGGCCAGAGTCCAGCTGTGGGACTTTTGGTTTTTCAGCCGTTGTCAGTTTGTTACGCTAAATACAAATCTTCTAAGCAAACACACATGATTTCCTTTATGTCTTTATTTTAACTATGAATAAAGAATAGTACAAATAACTCCATATTTTAAATTAATGGTTTAATATATTGTGAAATATCACATTTGAAACTTAAAATTGTTTAATGCAGATGGATTCTTGTATTTATCTTTTTTTCCTATGCTTACAAGGTTCAGATTTTGCTTAAACTGTGGAGCAATGGTTTCAGTTTAGATGATGGAGAATTGAGATCTTACAGTGACCCAACAAATGCTCAGTTTCTGGAGTCTGTTAAGAGAGGGTAAGATGTATTGTTTGTATTTTATTTTTTACTTAAGGTGGGACTTGTTTTTTAACAGATGCTGTTCAGTAATGAGTGCACTCCTGGTTTGTAAGAGTTAGATACTGGATTATATTATGTAAGTGGTTGCTGGGGGGAAGGGTATTTTTAAGTATATAAAAGATAAATCGCTATCTGTAGGTCACTGGTTCTTAACTTATGGGGAGGGGCAGTGACATTGGTCCCTGTTAAAATCTGGTGAAGCTATGGTCCCAGTTCCAAGCAGAAACATCTTAATGTCATAAATCAGTGAATTGATTAGCATGTAGCTGCCCATCCACTAAGGCGCTGTCCTGCTTACTGTTGACAGGGTGACTCTCATTGCATGTATGCCTGAAATTCAGCAACTTACGTTAGAAATCTTTTAAAGTGGCATTAGTGGCATTACTGCTGGCAGAAGATTTCAAAAGGTTAGTTTGAAGTTACACTTTGTGAAAGTAAACCAGATATATGGTGCTGTGACCCATCTAAAGAACATCATAACTCACCAGCCCTTCTTGCTAAAGGATGAGGAATCAAGTCATTTTGCTATGATTACAAAAGCTTTTCTGAATTATGCTTTCACTAGCTGACAATGTGGTCATTCCTAAGTAGAAATACAACTAAAGACATAAGGTTGGTGATGAACTGGAAGATCTAAGTAGCAGTGAAGGGAGTGGAGTAGGATGTTATACTCCGTCCAGGAGTTGAAGGGGGGGCTTTTCCAAGTGATAAAATATGTCCAGGGAGGGCCGGCTCCGTGGCTTAGCGGTTAAGTGCGCGCACTCTGATGCTGGCGGCCCGGGTTCAGATCCCGGGCGCGCCCCGAGGCACCACTTCTCCGTCCAATGCGAGGCCGAGTCCCACGTACAGCAACTAGAGGGATGTGAACCTATGACATACAACTATCTACTGGGGCTTTGGGGGGAAAAAATGAATTAAAAAAAAAAAAAAATATGTCCAGGGAGAGTGGCTGAAGTGGAGGGGAGATGAAACTCATTGGAGTTGAGGTAGTCAAGGAATTCTGAAGGAAAGGTATTTTAGAACACTAAGCATAAATTTTCAATTTGAATTCTGCAAAGATAATGGCAGGATACCAAAAAAAGGCAAGGAAAGCTGTAACCTGTGTGCTGACGTCATTGAGAAAGGTGGGAAGCTGTCCTGGGAGGCAGTATATGGTGGTGGAAAATAAAAGGACATAATAGTTTAAATGAGTGCTCTGGACTTGGAAACTGCCGAGTTGCTGGGAAGAGCTGGGAGTGACTGAGAGGGGAGGTGTTGGTCTGCTAGGTGAAGATCAGCGTTACTGTTGAAATTGATGCTTGTTTCAAGATGGTGGAAGAGAAGAACATATTGATGATGAATGTACTATAATATAGGTCAAAACTAATTTATTATTAAATGATAATAATCCATAAACTTTGTAGGCTAATGTTCAAACAGTCATGGTATACTAAAGGAATTTTTTTATTTGAGCCATACCATATCCTCAAGTACAAATTATGATCAAGAACAGTTTTAGAAAAGACTTCTTGAAAAAAATTATTGATGTCAGATAGTGTTTGTCAACTGTATTATCATTGTCCCCAAATATTATGTAACACCATCTTCACTCTCCTCAAAGAAGAACTCATAGATAATCTAATCTCTCTATGCATATTCTTTCTGAACAATTTATGTGATATTGTATTTTAAATATATTGAAGAAATAAAGGAAAGTAATTTATCATAAAATTATACATATTTCAATGTATAAATGCCTGGGTACGACCACACCGGAAGACATAACAAAGGAGTCAGATGGTCTGCACCTATGTGCAGTCTAGTACTTCTCATGTAAGTGTGAGAGACATAAGAACAGAATAACGAGGTGTGTGAAGTTGGCAACTTAATTACTGTAAGTGACATTGAGGTTGGGGACTTGGTAAAGTTCCAAACAGAACAAAGTGCAGTCTTCTCTCTGTTTATATGGTAAATGTATTCCTGGAAATTTCAAAGTGTATTAATACAATGCCAAAAGAAATCAGTTTTTGCTTATATGTAAGACGGAGCCTAATAAGCTTTTAGGCTCAGACATTACAAACAGTGTTGTCATCATGTGAATCTCTGGCAGGGCATTCGGTGGTTCTCTGGAACCCAAGACAAGTCTTCATTGTGCAAGAGGAATCCCCGGTCCCGCCTCTGAATGATGGCAGCACTCACAAATCACACAACAATCAAAAACACCCCTGTTGATTTTCCAGACTTCTTCAAGGAGTTTAGAAATAAATATCTACGTTTTACTATTGTGTCCTCCTAAGAATTTTCTAGTGCTAATTTAGGTATAAATTGCTGTCTTACAGTTTGGCTTTCTAAATGTCAGAAGCACCTCAAGGTCACTGTGACAACAAAAATCCCTATGTTGAGAACCACTAAGGAATAAGGTGATGCAACTTGAAGAAAGAAATATCTGCAGGGACTATCATCATGGAAATTTTTATAATTTAAGCAAAAATTTCTGTTTTTCACTGTAGCTCACAACTTGATTATAGTAATCTCCACTGTGTAGATTCATTTTTTAAATAGTTAACTAAAACTGTTTTCCCCTTTTTTAAAGAGAGATTCCCCTGGAGCTTCAGCGACTGGTTCATGGTGGCCAAGTGAATTTGGATATGGAGGATCATCAGGATCAAGAATACATAAAACCTAGATTGAGGTTCAAGGCTTTTAGTGGAGAAGGACAAAAACTTGGAAGGTAAAATCCTAAAATGAGAAAAATACTTGTCTTTCTTCAACATGAATTTTCTTTGAGAATAAAAAAACAAAATAACCTAAAAAGTAAAAACTAAAATATGAACTGTGAAGCCCTTGCTGATGGAATTAGATATGCAAATCTGGTGATAATATTAGTAGCTAATACTTAGGTAACAGTGACCACAGTCTTGGCCCTCTGAGCACTTAAACATACGTTAACTCACTTAACCTTCACAACAAGTCTGTGATGGAGATCCTGATATTACTCCGTTTGCAGATGCAGTAGTTTGCTCAAGGTGCTTGAGCCAGCAGGTGGTTAACATGTGGGGTTCAAACCAGGCCCTGCCTCCAGAGTCTGTGCTTACCATGTGCCATCCTGCCTCTTTCTGATTACATGGGTCCAAGGGGGAAATTGTAAAGGGTTGTTGATTAGATAAAACAGTAGATATCTTAGATCACAGCTTTAAGCGTGCCTGGCTGCCATAAGTGATTGTTAAGCTCTTGCAGCGAGAGCTTGTGCGTAAATTGGTTATTTTCAATGTCTTTTAAGCAGCCCAACTCTTAAGTTATTGAAGCCCAATATGTAAAACACGTATAAAACCTGAGCTCTCTGATTGTAGGTGTTGGAGGGAGTTGTCTTGGAGACATTTCCAAAGAAGCCCTAGGATGTTGCCAAGCACAGTTTAGAAACCAGTGTACGTGGTATCATGTATGAGTGGACTCCTTAAAATAGCCATGGCTTGAAAGAATCTTCATAAATCTTCTAAAATAAGTTGGTAAAAGTTACCCTCTATTTGTCCACATGTGTCTACAGGAGACATGTGGAATTGTGGCTTTGGCCGTGTTTCCAACGTGCCCTTTGTGCATCCTTTCTTCCTTTTCGTGTGATTCTTTTCCTTCTAAGGTCTTTTCAGTTCCCTTGTGCACACTGGTTCTCTATTCCCCTCTCATTTCTCAAAGTAGGAAAATATTCAATATTGGTTCTTTACATGGTCTTTCATGTCTCTAGTCTCCCTTCTGTATCCTTTTCTTCTGATAGAGAATGATTTCTGAGACACGCAGGGAGTGCAGGAACATGTGTTGACCTGGCTGTTTTTAGGACCCAAATCCTTCAGTGCCCAGTGTGCTGGAGCTTTTTTCCCTCATCTCTCTTTACTACCAACACAGGTCCAGCTTCCCCTGAATTGTTCTATTTCTTCCCTCCTTTTGTTTTTATAACTATGATCCTTAGATATATATTTTTTAAATATTTTCTAGAACTTCTCATTTTTTACTTAATATTTATTGAGATTATGATTTTTAATTAGAACACAGGTAAACTGCCCAGTCATCTCTTTGCTTCATACATATTCTTTCTCTATTATTTAAATTTATGACCAAGAATTAATGTTAGAATGCACATCTTTGTGGAAGTACAGTAAATCTACAATTGGAATTGAAGAAGGTAGCATAAATTTAGGGAAGATAGCTGAGAAGAGCCACTGGTTATAATTGGCAATTTCAACTCATGAAAATAAGGATATTATCTAATTATAATATCTTACAAAGGCCAGCCTGTTTCCTTATAAGGCAAATAGCTAGAGAAAAAGACTGAAAAAAAAAGGAGAAAATGGCAAAGGAGAATGACAAAAATCAGTGGTGATAATACTATGCTGATCATTAGCCATATTGGTCAGGGTTTTTGATTATAGAAAACAGAATCCACTTGCTAGTTTAAATAGTAAAGGGTTTCTTACAGAGCCTTGGATACTTTATAGAATTTTTAGAAGAGATAGCAAACCAAGTTTTCCTTAGGAGAAGCAAACAACAGGGAACTTTCTAAAGAAAATACCTCCTGTGACCCTATCAGTTGCTCAGTCCCCTAGGGACCAGACACTAGAACAGTCTATCATGACTGCTCTAGAAGAATCAAATGCCTCCAATACCTTGGTAACCAGAATAGCTACATAGCTTCCACTTTACAGTGATTACTTGCGCCGTCAAGTATGTACCTGTTTGCTCAGTGGAAGGGTTGAATCATATAAAATCCTAGCTGCAAGGGAGTCTGATAAATGTACTCTTTAGACTTTTCACTTTCTAATTTATAGGATATTTACACTAGGAGATTCATGTGGTGGTGTGAGCCTATATGATGCACTTGAATCCAAATGTTGAATAGTTGAAGATATATTCTAAGAAAGTGAAGAATTGCATAGAACATTTTAGAAGGCTTTACTGAAAAATATTAAAATATAAAAGTTCTAACTGTTAACGTTTATTTATTCAGAAAGTAGCTTTCTAAAATGACTCATTACCCAGGAGTTCCAGATAACTATTTACTGAACAGAGAGATAATTAAAAAGAAGGAAACAAAACAGAAATGGAAATAATTCCATTGTCTTCCATAGCTGGCAGTCTAATTGCAAACAGGACATTACATAGATGGAAACTAACTTAATTTTTTATTGTGATATACAAATAATTATGGGGTAAACCTAAATGCAATAAAAATATTACCCAGTACCCTCACATAATATAAGAGGAGCAAGCAAATCATAGATGGAAAACTGCAAGTTTACAGTGGTAGAACAAACTGTATTACTGAATAAAGATTAGCTTGGTGAGCCAGAGGAGAGCCCAACAAGTAAAAGACCCAGAAAATCACAGATTCATTTTTGACAGGCAGGGCTAACAAGGAGACTTTCACTGTAGGCTTTTGAGCTGGTGTGTATGATGATAAAAATCGTGGTTTTTAAGCAAATCTCTCTTTCTGCTTAAGAACAATCACTGCCTGTGTGTCATACTGTGCAGTCCAGTCCAAAAGATTCTGTTTGCCACTCTCACCCATTCCGGCCACTGCACCTGAGATTTGACTTCATCTTGGTCGCTGGACCCTTGAGGGCTCTCTGCTCTAAAGTCTAATAGCCCTTCCCTCCTAACAGCCCTTCCGTCCTGCCTTTTCTTCATTTTCTGATCCCAGCGATTCTGTGGCCCCTTGCCTTACTGTGCAGTCACTGGCTTTGTCTGCTCTGTGCGGTTCAGTGCTGCTGGGGACGTTTGCACTCCCATGCTGGGCAGGCAAGCTGAGCTGCTCCCACTCTCGAGGGGCTGTTCCCAGATGTTCCCTGCTTTCCCTGAGCCCCCTGTTCACCCCTGCCCCGCACTCGCATGGATTCCTTTGCTTCCAGCTTCACTGAGAAAATAGAGCCCAATAAGAATTAACTTTCTTAATGTATTCCCCTTAGCCTCTAAGTTGATTAAATCCGTCCTTACTTCCCTCTTCTAAGCTTGAAGATGTTTGTCCTCCTGTCTGAGGGAATCACTTCACTTAGAATCTACATCCTTTCCTCCAATTTGCCTAGAAATCTTGTTTTATCGGTTAACTTCTCTCTTTTCCTTTTTTTAAAAATTTTCTTTTTAATGTAATACTTGGACATACAAACAATATATCAAAATGTCACTATTATTTGATCAATTGAATGATAAGGAGAAAGTTTTCAGTAGCAAACAGGTGTGACTTGAAAGCTAAATATTAAACTTAATGTATCTTTTTTAAATGGTTGTTTTATACCGCACTAACCAACTTGCTCACTGCCTGTCTCTGTGGCTCCCAGCCCATCTTTCAATCTCTGTGACTCAGTTTTCCCTTCCTGTAAAATGATGTGGTTTCTCTGAATTATCTTGAAAGTCTGTTCCCGTCCTCAAATGTTATTAGTCCATGTAATTTCATGTTGACATACACACATCTTACAAAGAAACACATGAAAGGGCTTTTCTTACCTAGTTTCCCTGCCCTGTACTTTATTTTTATGTTTTGAGAAGAACTTACCTGATCAGTCTATTTTAAACGGTAAGCATTAAAGTATAGAAACAGCAATATAGGCAACTTGATGTCATGGAAAGAACCCAGGATGAGCCTCAGCTTTCTAATCCATCAGTGGGGATAAAGGGATAGCTCTTCCTTTCCCAGATGTTGTTAGAATTATCATTATAATGCTAATAGCTAACTTTTAGGTAGTGCCAACTATATAAAAGCACTATTTGAAGTGCTTATATGTCCTACTTAATTTAATCCTTACAAAAGTGCTACTGTTGTCTCTGTTTTGCAAATGGGGAATTTCAGGCACAAAGAGGGTTAGTGACTTGCTCAGGGTGACACATCTAATAAGTGGCGAAATCAGAATCCGGGAGTCAGGCTCCTGGATCCATGCTGTTAACCATGAAGCACCTCTGCCTCCCTCAGCCCATGATTTAAATGAAATAACGGATGCAGTGAGGCTGTGAGGGTGGTGGTGATAATGTCCGTGAGGCAGAGGTGGAGAGAAGAGGTCCTTTGCATCCAGCGTCTTGTGTCCCTTCCCTTTGGTTCTCATGCTTCTCCCTGTGTAAGGGACACTGGACTGTCGGCACAGTAAGCCAGCTTGGCAATGCAGCTATTTAAGCCCGCAATTCCAAACCTGAAAGAAACTTCCTTAATAATACCTGATCAGTGATTGCAAATCATCCTTTTCTCCTTTTTCATATCTTTATCATATATATCCTGAAATCAGTTCTAAAATATTTGTCAGGAGATAGTTAAAGAAAGGGGAAGTGTTAGCAGTAAGTGCCAGTTAATTTGACCACTCTGCCATATATTCTGAGAAACTTTTGGGTGGGAATGAGAGTCTTGATAGGCTAGGTTTACACTCGACAAAAGCTCAAATGCTCAGAGAACTTTTATACTGATAAATATAGACTTACTTTTTTTCAAAAGAAAATAATTTATAGGAAGCCATCTAAATCTCTGTATCGGAGAGAACAAACATCAAGACTATCAAAGAATCCCTTAAGATGACTGAGAGAAGATTAAAATTTGATGTCTATGAAAAATTTGGCTAAATTTGTTTTATTTTCTTAAGCAAAAGAGCACTCTAGTTTTGACTTTCACCTTTGGCTTACAATGCTGGGTCTTCCGGCTTCTTTAGAAGCCACTGAGCAGGCACTGCCAAGGTCTCTAGTCATCAAAGTCAATGGTAAGATGTCCTGTCGAATAAACTTCATTATGAATTCATCACCATATATAAAATTTCATTCCTCACTAACACTTAGGAATTACTTCTCTTTTGTAAAGCAGTAACTACTTAAATCAGATGTTTTTAAGCAATGTTAGTTAAGTTTAAATTAAGTTAATAGTTTAGTGCTGATAATTTGTACAAAAATAGCTGGCACCTGTGGAAACGCTGTCCTGGGCCCACGTTCAGGGCTTGCTGGTGTAACATATGTACCTAACATGGTATTATTCCCCCATTTTACACATGATAGAACTAGGATCCAAAGAGATTAATTTCCTTACTCAAATTGACGCTGTTGACGTAGCTGGCTGGATTTGAAACCAAGTCCGTCTGTGCTCGTAGCCATTCTTTGACTCGACTGTTGTGGTAAACCGTGCTAACATGAGATTTCAAAGGGGTAAAGGAAGGAAACAATACAAAGTTAGGCTTTTGAAGAGATTGGATAAACTAAATCAGAATCATAGGATCCAAAATAATTTTACTATAATGAGAGAGGTTGGCCGAAGTATGGGAGACTCGCGGGAAGCCATGTTCTTGCCAGTCCAGAAGTCGTAGGCGGCATAAGTTCAGAGTCAGCTGTGGGTCCAAGTGGTTATTCTGCTGTCTTCAGTTTGTCAAATGTCTTATGTATTCAAATTTGTGTTCTAATTCTTTAATTCTTCTTTCTTAGCCTTACACCTGAAATAGTCAGTACACCTTCCTCCCCAGAAGAAGAGGATAAGTCAATGTTTAATGCAGTTGTTGTTATCGATGATTCAATGCCAACAACAAAAATTCAAATCAGGTTAGCAGATGGGAGTCGTTTGATACAGAGATTCAATAGTACACACAGGTAAGCTTCTAGTTTGCTCTTATACACACGGTTACTAATCTTGGTAAAACTGTATATGACCTGAGTAATGAAATCTAACAAAGAATGAATAAAATCTTTAGACTTACTTTTGAAGTAAGTTTTTGACAGAAGAAAAAGACTTTAAAAGGTAATAGCTGTGTGTTAAGAAGTGAAATACTTAATCTTTAAACATCCTTTGTAAACTGTCCAAATACTAATGCAAATTCAGATATCATTCAAAAATAAAATTCTTAAAAGCTGCAGTTTTGCACTGTTGCTAAAACCATGTGAAGTGGAATCAGATTTGATTTAATATAGTAAAACCTTATTTGGACTTAACTTATTTAAAAATTTATCCTAATTCTGATTGGGTTTGACTTTGTACTGAGCAAATTCTTCATAATATAAATTTGTAGTGTAAATAAAGTTTAACTGTGCTATTGTCAAGGATTTCAAATAAACTTTTAAAAATGTCATTTTAGCATTCATTTGTACATTTGTTGGGCTAATAAGATATTATTTTTATTTGCTCATTGTATCCATCTAAGGGATACATTTACGATCTTAGTTGAGTTCTATGTGAAAGTGAGTTTTAAAAATTATTCTCATGACCTACACTTTTCATGGTTATAGTCTCACCTTGACACAGGCCAATTACCTTTTTCTGAATCGTGTACTGCTAAGATATTTTATACTCTGAGTAAAGTAGGACCTGCACTTTCAGTGTCATAACATTGTTGACATGTATTTTCTTCATACCTCACCTAAAGATTGTCTCTGTTTACAGTAAAAGTGGATAATTAAGTACACTCCAAAGTTATCCTCACATTTGATCTTAAAGCCAAGATAAATCCATCCATTGAAATAATGTAAATTAAAGAAAGTTACAGAACATTTAAATAAGGATTTGAATTGTGTAATTTTTATTATTATCTAATGTTAGCTAAAAGCTTACATGGCAATAAAATTTTTGTATCACATATTTTTTTATCTTATTTCTCCAGGATCCTGGATGTTCGGGACTTTATTGTACAGTCCCGTCCTGAATTTTCAACTCTTGACTTTATTCTTGTGACTTCATTTCCAAACAAAGAGCTAACAGATGAAAGCCTGACACTACAAGAAGCAGATATTCTTAACACTGTGATACTCCAGCAACTCAAATAATATTGCTCCTATTCATGCAGTAGCATGGAGGAAAGATAATGTGCCATTTTAATAAGGAAAATACTTAGAGCCTAAAAAAACAAATTATTTTTATTATTTATACAGATAAATTTTGGTTTTAATCTTGTTCTATCTTTCAGCCTTTAGTATAGATGAATTTGGACTAGGAATAGATTTTGAGATGAGTTTTTAGTTGCAGAGATGGCTTACATTGATAGCTTGTAAATATTCTGGCAAAACAATTTGTTACATGCTCAGTGTTAATGTAACAATATTTATTTGCAGCAAAAATTAACAAAACCCCAACCTGATAAATACATTTGGTAAAATTTGCACTAAAGTTTCGTGGTGCTGCATTGATCAACAGCCATTAAGAAATCTTCTGATCAAATAATTTGAAAGTTTTTCTGTGCTATATACTGAAAAGTATCTGTATTCTGATTGTGAAATACTTTGATCATATGATAATTATTTCTCCTATTAAGATTTTACACATCCTTTTTACTTACTGATTTAGCTTTATTACTAGTGTCAAAAAGTACAGTTTGGCCTGTATTTTACAGAACTATGACCATCATAAACTAGAAACAAAGACCATGAAGATCAGCAATTCTTGAGCAGATGTGTTAAATAGCACTTTAAAATAGTAATTACAGTCCCTCCCAGGGCCTTCCTTTATCACGTTCATTTATTCATTCAACACATTTTTCTAGGGGACCAACTATCTCTACTAAACACTGTTCTAAGTGTTCAGCCCAGAATGTATTCTGTTTCAGGACGGAACAAGTGTAGAAATAGAGGAATGTAAATTCTGTCAGACGGACTGGATCTGCAGAATGACCAGCGTAAATGTTTGCATTTCTGCTGCAGCCGGGTATCTCCTGAGCGAGGTCGGCTACATCAGGAACGATAGAGAAGCTGCTGCTACTTCCCAGACGTCATTTCCTCTTTGGTCACCACTCCTGGCTAGTTTTTTATTGCTGCTGTAACAAATTACTACAGCCTTAGTGGCTTAAAGGAGCACGGATTTATTATCTTATAATTCTATAGGTTAGACATCGGAGATGGGTCTCACTGGGCTAAAGTAAGGCGTCGACAGGGCTGCGTCCCTTCCGGGAGGCCCTAGGGGAGAATCATTTCCTTGTCTTTCTAACTTCTAGAGGCCACCTTCATTCCTTGGCCTGTGACCCCTTTGTTCCATCTTCAAAACCAGCAACATTGCCTCTCTCTGGCCCTTGCCTGTCATCATATCTCCCTGACAACAGCTAGGAAAGGTTCTCTGCTTTTAAGGACTCATGTGATTAGATTGGGTCCACCAGATAATCCAGGATAATCTCCGCATCGTAAGGTCCATAGTAAACTTAACCACATCTTGAAAGTCCCTTGGCCATGTAAAGTAACATATCGCAAGTTCCTTCTGGAGGCCCCAGGGATGAATGTGTTTTTGCAACTCTTCCAACTTGTTGAGGCTGCTGGCATCCCTTCACTCGTGGCTGTATCCCCCAGTCTCTGCCTATGCCCTTACATCTTTTACTCCCAACTTTAATTCTCCTGCTTTCCTCTTATAGGGACCCTTGTGATTACATTTGGTTTACCTAGATAATCCAGGATAATCTCCTCATCTCAAAATACCTAACTTAATCACATCTGCAAAATCCCTTTTACCTTGTAAGGTAACAGATTCACAGGTTTCCGAATTAGAACATGAACATTGGGCAGGGGGTATGCTGTCTGTCTAACACTGTCCACTCCTGCCCCAAGATTCACATCAGTCTTAAATAAAGTCCCCCATCCAAAGGTGCTCAAAAGTCTCATCCCAGTACAGCATCAACTTAAAGTGCAAAATCTTATCTGAATCTCACCGGCTCAAAAGTTCCAAATCTCATTTAAGTCATCTAAATCAAGTATGAGTGAGGATCTGGGTATGATTCCTGGGACACAGTTCCTCTCCATCTATGTACTTATGAACCTAGAAAAACAGTTATCTGCTTTCGAATATAATGGTAGGACAGGCATAGAGTAACAGTTATAGACATTCCTGTTCAAAAAAATAGAAAATAGAATGAGAAAAGAAGCCACCAGTGCCAAGCAATTTGAAATTCAGCCAGGCACTCCATTAGGTCTCAAGGCCTGAGAATCATCTTCTGTGGCTTGAAGCACCATGCTTTAGGCTTGTGACTCCCTCTCAGAGTCATCTTCTTTTTCATGGGAGTTAGCATGTGTTTGCAGCTGAGTAGTTTTATCAGCTTGTTTCTTGCCTGTGGAATTGTGGGAGGCCCAACCATCTTCTTTCATTTCATACTACCTCTGCCCCTTTCAGTTTAAGATGGCAACGTCTGCTGGTATAACATTCTCAAGAAACCTGTGGGTCTTTCCTGTCTGTTACAGAGATTCACTCCATTAGACCAGAGGCTCCTCAAGAGCTTTCCTGGATAATCCCATTTCTATTTTTGTTTTTTTCTGAGATAGCTGAGAGGATTTATGAGTCACACCCTTCAAAGAGCCTTTTGTGTGACTGAATACTCAAGAGGTGGTTTTTTTTTTTTGGTGAGGAAGATTAGCCCTGAGCTAACATCCTATGCCTATCTTCTTCTACTTTATATGTGGGATGCCTGCCACAGCATGGCCTGATAGGCAGTGCATAAGTCCGTGCCCGGGATTCAAACCTGCAAACCCTGGGCTGCTGAAGCAGAGCACACGAACCCAACCGCTACGTCACTGGGCCAGCCCCTCAGAGGTTTTATTGTTTTTTTTTTTTTGTGAGGAAGATCAGCCCTGAGCTAACATCTGATGCCAATCCTCCTCTTTTTTCTGAGGAAGCTTGGCCCTGGGCTAACATCCGTGCCCATCTTCCTCTGCTTTATATGGGATGCCGCCACAGCATGGCTCCACAAGCAGTCCGAACCGGCGAACCCTGGGCCGCCGCAGCGGAGCAAGCGCACTTAACCACTTGTGCCACCAGTCCAGCCCCACCTCAGAGTTTTTTTATCTTTCTCGGGTATTAGCAAAAGGTTGTACAGCCACACCCTCATCTCTTTCCCTAGAGCAGGCTTTCCTGACAGTGAATCTCTTAATTTTAATGCCTTCTGCCATTTGAGTAGGCTAAGAATTTCTAAGGCATCAAATCCTGTTTTCTTTATATTTAACAGTTCTTCCCTCAATTTATCTACCTCCTCTCACATTTTACTATAACCAGCAGGAAGAAAGTAGGCCGCACCTTCCACACTTTGCTTAGAAATCTCTTCAGCTAAATATCTTAAATTTATCACTTGCCACTTCTGCTTGCACATAACTGCAGGACCCAGTTCAACTAAGCTTTTTGCCGCCGTGTAACTAGAGTCTCTTTTTCTTCAGTTTCCAACAGCATGTTCCTCATTTCCTACTGAGCCCTCACTGGCAGCGCTTGTAATGACCTTATTTCTACTAACAGTCTGTTCATGACAATTTAGATATTCTCTATGACAATTTAGGTATTCTCTACCATGCTCCTAATCCTTCGAGCCCTCACTAGCATTAACATTCGTATAACTATTAAGAGTATTCAGGGCAGTCGTGGCTCTTTCTGTCATGCTGCTGAAAATTCTTCCAACCTCTACCCACTGCCCAATTCCAAGGCCACTTCTGCATTTTTAGGTATTTGTTACAGCAGCACCCCATTTTCAGGTATCTAGAAAAGTCTGCTGTGCGTGCTCACTGCCAGTTGATTTGAATGTGCCAATAGGAGAATTGGAATTCACGTTTCTCTGGGGGCTCTGGTTATTTCAAGGAGGTGAATTCACCTGTGTGAGAGGTTCTAATACGGGGAGTACTACCAGAACTGCCGCAAGACAGAAGTGTTTATCCCACCGCAGAGAAAAGTTTTTCTCTGTCTTAACATAGAGTAAGAAGATGATTCCCAAGTCTTCCCCTCAGAATAGGAAGCCCTGCTTCTCTCCACTAATTCAAAACGACTTGGAGAATATATAAATAACAGTTAAAAACATCATTGTCAGTTCAACAAGATTACCAAGGTTAAACTACATTTTCACAGGAGTAAAATTATCGTCCTAAGGAAATCATCGAAACAAATGAACATTTTAAATAAAAGGGCAGTGCCCTGTTTTGGATTAACAAAATGGGGGAAAAATTAACCAAACCCCGTAGAGCTATTTGGAATTTTATTCTTGTAGTTTTTTTTATCAATTAGATGGAGTGCCTATAGATGCGCATACAAAATGACTGCCATTTTTGTATATAATAGTCTTCAAAAATATAGACATTTACATTAGGGGAGAGAAATATCCAGAAGGGATGAACAGTACTTCCACATGTACTAGGTAGTGTTTTGTTCCATTTAGAGTCGTATTTGTGAATTCTTTTTACTACTTCAGTTGCCGTAACTTTTAAAGTTTATAATCATCTCAAAAAAGATTATGTTACAATGAGCAGTTAGACAACTATGTGTGAAGTTAATTGTTTTGCATGACGTATGTAATCAAAAAATTTTAAGTGTCTGCTTACCAATAAAGAATGTTTTCACCGAAACTCATTGAGAATTCTTTTCAAAATTTCCTTGATTTGCAGTTTTATTTGAGTGGCGTAATGGAGTATTTTAAGCATGAGTAGCATTTCCTGTGGTTTAATTTCCTGTGATGCATCTTTTGATGGGCAGAGAAGGAACTGAGGTGTTGCACTATTGTCTCAGTTTCTCATTACTGTTTCTGTTTTTACTCCACCGAAATAAAAGTGCAAATTTTTCTTGTGTCCAATCTTGTCATAAAGGCTAAGAAACATTTTCTATAATCTTCTATACACTTTAAATTAAAGTATCTTTTAACTCCATGTAAATTATTTATAAAGGGAGCCCCAATGCATATGTATAACAATGTGTGTGTGTATGTATGTGTGTGTTTGTAAAGCACACAAAAATTACATGTGTGGCCTAGAACTAACTGGCTATAATCCACTTTTAACAAGTTGGCCTCTTTAGAATTTATAGCTATGACCTAGGTCTCTGAAAAAAAAAAAAACCCTTTTAGAAAGTTTGAACTTAATGACTTATTTTCTTTTAGATAAATATTTCTATATTATTAAAAATAAGACAGTAGGCCCAAAATGGAGTCACTTATGCTAAGGCCCACGTCACCAAACCAAGACGGACTTAATTACAGTGCCGGCTCTCCCAGAAATGGAGTCTTACACCAGTCCATGAGGAGTCGCCTGATCAGCACTAGTGAGGTCATCAGCCTGAGAGCCCTGCTGTCCGCTATAGGACAGTGACCTTGTCACGACCAGTCTGCTTTTTGCCTGGTGTAACTTCCTTGTTCCTGCTTCCTTCTGCCTATGAAAGTCTCATTTTGTACAGCTTGACGGAGCTCCTTTCTATCTGCTAGATTGGATGCTGCCGGATTCATGAATCACTGAATAAAGCCAATAAGATCCTTAAAATTTACTCAGTTGAATTTTGTTCTTTAACAATATTAAGCAGAGACATTCAGGATCATTCTAGGGCGCTTCAACCTTAAAACTTCCTCTGAGAACTGACTAGTTCATTTCATATGGCTTCTTAAGCTTCTCGAATGAAAGCTACCGGGAAAGAATGGTAGTCAGTCAGTTCTGTTGAATGTTTCACAACATTTGTTGCTTTCTTTGGAGGGCCTGATAAATAATGACAAACTCATT